AGAGGCGGGCGGGGCTCCCCACGCGGGGGGCTTCGGGGCGCCGCCGCCGCCGAGGGACGTGGCTTGAGCGGAGGCCTCCCGGGCCCCTTCCAGCCCCGCTGCGGTTCCGTGCAGGGAGAGGGCTGCTGCCCCTCAGGATCGACCGCGGGGCCCGCCGGAGCCGGTCTGCTCCGGGCGACTTGTGGCCCCCCGGCGGCCTGGCCCACAAGCGCGTTCCGGTGATGACGGGACTTGTGGGTCAAAGCATCTAGGGCACCGCAATGTCTCCCGCTGCTTGGATTCGTGTTCGCTTCCCATCCCGTGCAGGGATCCGAAACGGCCTTGCCCAGCGATTAATCTCGCTGGATGCAACGTTCAAGTGCCCAGGAAAGACTCGTGACTGGTAGAAGCTGCTTTCTGTCGAGTCGCAGCCCCCAGCCCAGTGCCGGCACTGGCTGGCTCTTGCTCTCCCGAGCGTTTCCAGCCTGGCCGGGGATGCTGTGGCACTGGGACCCGGGCCCTTCCGCGGGTGCGGCTGGGGCTACCCCGCTAAGCGCAGCCCCTCGCCCGAATCGCAGCTCTCTTGCTCCAGCTGCTTCAGGCCTCAAGGCAGGCGGTTTGCAGGTGCCTCTTTCCCCCTCGCCTTCTCCTTGCAAAGCCCCATGGCAAGAGCGCGAAGACGCTCCTGCCGGGGATCCTTGGCGCGTCCCGTGGGAGAGCTGAGCTGGAACCCTTCTGGTCTGCCTGGACCAGCCAGAAAAGGCCCCGTGTGAGCAGCAACCACAGGCAGGTCTGAAAGCTCGTGCTGCAGGCCCTGCTGCTTGTGACCGAGGCGGGGATTCAAGATACCATGTTCCCCATTCAGAATGTCTCTCTGCCACCGCAGCATTACATGAGGCCATGCACATGGTGGGCATGTTGTGAGCAGAGCCGGCTGGAGCTGGGGGTCAGACTTGATGACCCGGGAGACCCCTTCTGACTCTCTGTTTCTATGTTTCTATGATCCGGCCCTTAATTTGGGGTGTGGACCCTCAGGCCTGGGCTCTTTTCTGGCTCTGAACGTCCACCCCCCATTCTGAAATGCCCAGCTCCTCCTCCTCCTTTTCAGGGTTCATCAGGGACACGGAGAGACTCGGGGTGCAATCCTGCCCGTGCTTGGAGAGAACCGTGCCCCAGTCTCCCCACATGTCCCATGCCAGGTGCCGTGGGACGTTTCTCGCTGAAGCAGGCAGGACACCGCACCCTTCAGTGGCAGCAAGCGGGGGTGTTCTGCCTCGGCTCCCCACTTGGCCCTCTGCCTGCCCGCTGCCCCCCAAGCACCTCTGAAGCGGCGCCCTGTGGGCCGGGGGGAGTGCCCTGCTGCCGTTTGGAGTCCTGCAACTCGTGGCGATCCCAGCAGGCTTTGCGGCCCGGCTGCAAGCATCTTTGGCAGTTGGCGGGGCCTCCCCACCCCTTCTGTGCCAAGAGCACGCTCCCGTGGGCACCAAGCCTTCAGCATCATCCAGCCGTCCTGCCTCCTCCTTCTCCCCGGCCCTTGCCCGGCACCTCGCCTGTTGCAGAGAAGGGGGGTTCTTACAGGCTCTGCGGGGGATCTTTTGGTCGGCCTCCGGAGAATACTATCTGAATGCAGATTCTGGAAGTTGGCTTGTGGCCAGTATGGATCCCGTGGCTTTTTGTGGGAGGCAGAGGATACCTGCAGCGCGCCTGTGGCCCCCCTGGATCAGGCACCCCCATACAAGGGCCCTGTGTGCAGACGAGGGCCGCAGCTCTGTCCCGACCCCCCCCCCCCCCCGGGTGCCCTCAGGCAGGGCCGGGCAGCTTCTCTCCAGAGGGGCTTTTGCGGCCTTGAAGCTCTCCCCACGCTCATTTCTCTCGACACATTTGCTGTGTCTGACCACCCTCCAGGGTCGTGTGTATGGGATGTAGAAACAGCCCTTAACCAGGCCGGTTGGCATATTGTACCGAATCGTCAATCCGTTGGCCACACTCCCCCTCTCTGGCACACCGGCATCTTGAGACAGGCAAAAGATCGCCCCGCAGGGCTGTGGCTCCCAGGCCCAGCTGCAGCTGAGAAGCCCGGGGGGCGGGTGGGGGGAGGCAGCCAGTCCCAGAGCAGCAAAAGAGCCCCTCCACATGATGTTCCCCAAATGCCTTTTCCCGGCCCGAGAGAGAAATACACTCCCTTGGTCAGCAAACCTGTTTGGGGCTCCAGCCAGAGCAGGTGTCTTGGAAAGCAGTGGGAGTTTGTTGGCTCACTGGAGACCGAGCCCCCCTTCAGTCTCCTCCGGCAGGAGGGGTGCCCTCGGGGACCTCCTTATCAGCAGAGGCCCCATGGCAGGCATGCATGAGGAGGGGCTTGTCCCGCCTCCCCCCCATGCCAGGAACAAAGCGCCTCTTCGTCTCCAGGCTCTTTGAAGGGGTGTGAAGAGGCATCCTTTAATTAAGCGGTTCACATCCTGTTGTGGCTTTCCCGTTCTGCTCGTTTAATGTTTCTGTCTCTTGTTATGGTTGTCTGCCCTGAGAGCTTTGCAGGATGGCGGTGGTGGCAATGGGGGGGCTTTGCTGAGGAAATCCATGCCCAGCCCGCAGCCCTGCTGGGAAGGAAGAGGGAAGCTGGAGGAGTCTGGCAGCCACTGCCCCCCCCCCCCAGACGGTCCCTGGCAGTCCATCGTCCGCGCTCGGCTTGCACCCCTCCCCGCAGGCACCTCCGCCGGTCATGCCAGGCTTAGCATGGGGTTCAGTCCCCATCAGCCCCAGGCAGCATGGCCGGTGGCCAGAAATCCGGGGCTGGGGGGTCCTTTGCAAGGCACGGTGTTGGGGAACCTGTAGGCAACCGGATCGCCTTGAGCGTCGTGGGGGGCAGTGGGACGGTTGCCGTGGACAAGGCCGGGTTCGGGGGCTGTGAGGGCAGCAGGTGACGCGCATGTTCGAGCGGCTCTCCGCTCCGTGGAGAAAGCAGCCACAGAGGGCTGGGGGGGGTGGCTTGCCTCCCCCGTCCTTTGCCCAAGCCGGCCACCCCTCCACACGCCAGACAGGATGGGAGATGCTGGACAGCAATAGATTTATTAAGTATTCCAAAACATAAAAATAGACACAGACCAGTAAAAAATAAAGACCAGGCCCTTGAAGTTATCAAAGTCATGGACAGAGGAAGCTGCACTAACTCATTAGACGGGGGAGGGGAGGGGGAGAGGGGAGAATTGGGGCGCGATGGTTAAATACTGAACTTTTAAGTTTTGGAACCCTTGACTCAGAAGCAACTAGAAGCTGGTTGCCTACAACACAACGCAGCCCGTGGGCAGCAAAAATGGCAGGTGGTGATGGATCCGAGGGCTGGGCCGATGCTCCGCTCTCCCAGGGAGGAAGTACACGCCGCCCCGCAGCCCAGGCCCTACTTGGTGCCCTGGGCCTCCGATTCTTCCTCGTCGTCTTCATACATCTCTCCCTCCTCTTCGGCGGTGGCGTCCTGGTACTGCTGGTACTCCGAGACCAGGTCGTTCATGTTGCTCTCGGCCTCGGTGAACTCCATCTCGTCCATGCCCTCGCCCGTGTACCAGTGGAGGAAGGCCTTGCGCCGGAACATGGCCGTGAACTGCTCCGAGATGCGCTTGAAGAGCTCCTGGATGGCCGTGCTGTTGCCGATGAAGGTCGAGGACATCTTCAGGCCCCGGGGTGGGATGTCGCACACGGCCACCTTGACGTTGTTGGGGATCCACTCCACGAAGTAGCTGCTGTTCTTGCTCTGGATGGCCAGCATCTGCTCGTCCACCTCCTTCATGGACATGCGGCCCCGGAAGACGGTGGCCACGGTGAGGTAGCGGCCGTGGCGGGGGTCGCAGGCGGCCATCATGTTCTTGGCGTCAAACATCTGCTGGGTGAGCTCCGGCACCGTCAGGGCGCGGTACTGCTGGCTGCCGCGGGCCGTCAGCGGGGCGAAGCCGGGCATGAAGAAGTGCAGGCGGGGGAAGGGCACCATGTTGACGGCCAGCTTGCGCAGGTCGGCGTTGAGCTGCCCGGGGAACCTCAGCGAGGTGGTGACGCCGCTCATGGTGGCCGAGACGAGGTGGTTGAGGTCCCCGTAGGTGGGGGTGGCCAGCTTGAGGGTCCGGAAGCAGATGTCGTAGAGGGCCTCGTTGTCGATGCAGTAGGTCTCGTCCGTGTTCTCCACCAGCTGGTGGATGGACAGGGTGGCGTTGTAGGGCTCCACCACCGTGTCGGACACTTTGGGGGAAGGCACCACGCTGAAAGTGTTCATGATCCGGTCGGGGTACTCCTCGCGGACTTTGCTGATCAGGAGCGTCCCCATGCCGGACCCCGTCCCCCCGCCCAGGGAGTGAGTGAGCTGGAAGCCCTGCAGGCAGTCACAGTTCTCACACTCTTTCCGCACCACGTCCAGGACGGAGTCCACCAGCTCGGCACCCTCCGTGTAATGCCCCTTCGCCCAGTTGTTCCCAGCACCGCTCTGACCTGCGGAGAGACAGACAGTGGCACCCCCTCGCCATGGACCCGCTCGGCTGCCAGCCCTCAGTGGGGGCTGGGGAGGGGCAGGCCTGCACTGGACCTGGGGTGATGGGAGTGGTAGTCCTGAACCTGGAGGGCATGCGGCTGGGGAAAGAAGTCTAGTGAATGGCACAGCTTGGATTTGCTGAACGATTCCTGCCCGGCCCCCTTAACACCACCCACTTGGCCTCTTTCCTGCCCCATGGCTCTCGGCTCCCCAGGTCAGAAAACAAAACGGGCCGGCTGGTGCAGGTCTGGGTGCACAGGGAAGGGGGGGGGAGGAGGAGGAGCAGCAGCGCGAAGCAGGAAGAGAGGTGATACCAAAGATGAAGTTGTCTGGCCTGAAGAGGTGTCCAAACGCTCCGGAGCGGACGCTGTCCATGGTGCCGGGCTCCAGGTCCACCAGGATCGCCCGAGGGACGTATTTGTGAGCTGTGCACCAAGAAAGTGTCCTCTCGAAAGTTGCCCACGAGGCAGACGGCCGAGCCGAGCCGAGCCCAGTCGGCTTTTATGGCAGTCAGTTTTATGGCAACAGCCTTCCCCACCCCAGTGCC